TTTTTTGTATTGTCCTATACTCCCCTTCCTTTTTGATTGTAAGCCGCCCTGAGCCCCCTCGGGGAAAAGGGCGGCCTATAAATAAATAAATCTACAAATCTACAAATCTACAGGGATGCTGCAGTGACTGCAACTTGTAGGACTGGTCCTAAGTCTCCTTGTTCAGCACTGTTGGAACTTTAAACAGTTGCTGAATGAGTGGTTATAACCCAAGAAGTGCCTATAGTCAGGCTAATCTACTTTCATGCAATAAGCTCAATGAAATAAATTTTCAATTGCTATCTCTTGGACTCAGAATGCTATAGCTACTTATTGTTTTGGGCAAGATTCTGGAATCTTCTTAAATTGTAAATCAAGGACATTTTCCCGTTGGTCTTTCTTTGAGAAAGGAAGGGATAGGGATGGGCAATGCATATCTGAACTATGAATCTAGCAACATGAAGTCCCTCAAATGTATCAAAGAATTGAGACCTCGGGAAAAGCAATTCTCCATATAATTTTCATATTGTTGGACTGCTCTATAAAATATTTTCCAAAGGAAGAATTTTGATGTTATTTAAGAAAGATCTTTCTTCCATCCCATTTCAGTTTAGATTTTCTCTCTAGGTGGAATGCTGAAAAACGTTGAATTAGAAGAAGAACTAATTCCCAGTGAAGAAATGGTTCAGAAAATGGAGGTGGATCTCTTGAAACTTATTGAAAGAATTGAAGAGAACGTTCTACATTTGATCAAACTATTCCAGCCACTCTTTGCAGAGAAATTGAAGGCACCACGGAAACCAGGTACCTAAAAAAAGTAGTGAATTCACTTGAAGCCATACTTTTGGCATAATTACAAAATGTATCTGAGAACAATCACCTGTCAAAGATCAGCCACAAAACACCCAATGTCAGAAACAGAATCAATCAGCCACTGTCAGCATTTGCATGTTGCTAGAGAAGATGTACATTCCATTCAGCTTTGTGTGACTGATGTCCTTTTAATAACTATACAAGTCCCAGTCACCTGGTTTCTAATTTTTATTATCTGTGCAGTTTTACCAGCTGTGTCCCAAGTCTATTGTTTAGCAGTGTTTGTAAGCTGATTCTGAAGAGCTTTTTTTAAATTATTATTATTAACAAATTTGTTTGCTGCCCATCTCAGTTTGAGGCGACTCTGAGTTGCTTTTGTTTTCCAAATATATCTAATTTGGATTCCCTGACCATGTTCTTCTACAATTTATGTTACAGACATAAGTACAATTAGTTGTAATATTCTTCTTGTCATGTGAGATAGTTTATTAATACCCTGTTTCCCCAAAATTAAGACCTCCCTGGATAATAAGACCAATTGGGCTTTTGAGCACACGTGGTAAAATAAGCCTTCCCCCAAAATAAGCCCTCCCCTAAAATATTTAAACACATGTGCAGCTGGTCTCCGCCATTTCCTGGGAGGGAAAGGGGGGAACATGCCCCATGTGCTCCACATGCACCTACCAGCGATGCGGAGGCCGTTCCTGCAAACCCTAGCTACTGTGCCCCTTCTCTTAGTGGCTGCAAAAAGAGCAGCAGGCCCAGCGACACTAGGGCTGGCAAGAGTGTGCCAGAAACAGAAGCAGAACTTCTGGCCCTCTCTGAATCAGCTGATCCATGTGCCGCGGGCCAAACTTAAGAAGCTTCCTGCAATTCACAAATAATAAGACCTCCTCGAAAATAAGGCCAAGACCCTGTCTTATTTTGGGGAAAACACGGTATAATCTTATAGTAATAACTTTTAAGAATTTCTTGTACAATGATCTTTTATCTCCCAATTCAACATTATTACCAGCACTACTACTATTCCTCTTCTTGCCATTTTTATTACTCTTTCTACCTCAGGTCAAAAATATACCCTTCTGTTTAAAGTATGGCGAGATAAAGTGGCAGATACGCCTCAGGAAGGTGAGCCTTTAACACCCGAACAGATGTTGGATGATGAAGCTCTTGCTTTTTCTCGTTGTCATGATGTTAACAACATGATACACGAACTAGGAGAATCTCAATTTTTCAACAAAGCGGAAATAGTTGCCCTCAAGTACACTGCAACCATGGTAGGAAACCTTATAAAGGCTTTCAGCCTTCTAGTTAAACAATGCCGCAACCTAAAACTCAAGTGCGACAGTCTAACTCTTTTGGAAGGCAGGAAGCAAGATCCTCAGGTTTTAGTCCTACAGAGAGAACTGAGAATGGCCATGGAGAGAAAGACAGCATTGGAGAAGCAAGTCCAAAGTGCTGAAGAAAGGTGCATGGCACTCCTGGTCACAAATGAAATGATTCAAAAAGAATTGCAAGATGCGAATGAGAAAGCATCGATGGCAGATAAGATCCCCCTTTCCAAGGTTACTGCAGGTAAAACTCAGAGTAAAGCATCTATTCTTGAAAAAGATGTAAAGAGCAAACCTGCTGAGAAACCAAAACTCCCGACAGAACCTAAAAAGAAGCTACCTAGAAAAGTTGAAGAAACCATGGATGAAAGATGGGACTCTCAAGGAGAGGATTCACAAATATCCCTACTATCTATTTATGGGAGAGACCGAACTCCAACTGGAAGCTTTCTGGATATAAAAATGAAACAGAGGAAAACAGTTTCTGACAAGGGGAAAATAAAGCAACCACCGAAGGCTACAGACGAAAAAGGTCCACCGATGCATGGAACAGTCACTGAAAGATCACCCGCGTTACTTGATCAAATGCTCACTAGTCACAAAACTTTGGACACAGAATCTGATAAAATGGTTCCTAAATCCAGTGATGAAAAGCCTGTTGAGACAAGTCCATCTACAATGGAATATTCATCATTAACTGAACCAACTGCAGAAGACGTTTCAGGCCTCCAAAAAGATAGAAAAGGAGCTAGGCGCAGGTTATCAATGAAAGGTACTGTAGATAAAGTTCTATTGAACGTAAAAACAAAAAAGATAGTAAAATTCCCACCCACCAAGGATACACCTACCGTGGACATGCCTAGCGAGGACATAACTCCCCTATTCACAACTGTCCAGGAAATACCTGAAGGTGAATCAACTCAAATGCCAACGATGACTTCAGAAACCAAGACGGAACCAGAGACTCTAGATAAAACCTTGACGCAAACAGTTGCAGCAGAGAAAAGTGAGGAAGCCCTGAAACAATTACAAGAGAAATCAAAAGAGATCCGAGAAAAGAAAGAAACGAAGCGGTGGAGTAAATTATTACAAGTCCCAAAGCAGGCAGCGAAGTCTGAAGGAGTGAGACATGGTTTAGATGCAAAGTTGCAAGAGACTGCCAGGGACATACCTACCCAGGAAATACCTTCCTTGGAAACCCCTATCCAGGAAACTCCGACCCAGGATAAACTTCCTGTGGACACCCCTACCCAGGACTCCCCTACCCAGGTTATACTGACTCTGGACACCCCTTCCCAAGACACTCCTACCCAGGTTATACTTCCCTTGGACACCCCTCCACAGGACATCCCTCCACAGGACACCCCACAGGAGATAACTAGAGTTGAATTGACTCATACGCCAACAACAGCTTCAGAAACCAAGGAGGAGCCGGTGTCTCAAGATAAAGACCTGACACAAACGGCTGCAGCAAAACAAACCGAAGAAGCCCCAAAACAATTACCAGAGAAATCAAAAGAGATCCGAGAAAAGAAAGAAACGAAGCGGTGGGGTAAATTATTACAAGTCCAAAAGCAGGCAGAGAAGTCTGAAGGAGTAAGACATGGTGGAGATGCGAAGTTGCAAGAGACTGCCAGGGACATGCCTACCCCAAGCATTCCTACCCCGGACACCCCTACCCAGGACATTTCTGGAGGTGAACTGACTCAAAAGCCACCAACAACTTCAGAAACGAAGGAGGAGTCAGAATCCCAACACAAAAACCTGACACAAACAGCTATAATAGAACAAGCTGAGGAAGCCCCCAAACAATTACCCGAGAAATCAAAAGATATCCGAGAAAAGAAGGAAACGAAGCGATGGAGTAAAGTGCTACCCTCAAAAAAGGCAGAGAAGTCTGAAGGAGTAAGACATGGTGCAGATGCGAAGTTGCAAGAGACTGCCAGGGACATACCTACCCCAAGCATTCCTACCCCGGACACCCCTACCCAGGACATTTCTGGAGGTGAACTGACTCAAAAGCCAACAACAACTTCAGAGACCAAAGAGGAGCCAGAATTCCAAGATAAAGACCTGGTACAAACAGTTATAGCAGAAGAAATTGAGGAAGCCCCAAAACAATTACCAGAGAAATCAAAAGATATCCGAGAAAAGAAGGAAACGAAGCGATGGAGTAAAGTGCTACCCTCAAAAAAGGCAGAGAAGTCTGAAGGAGAAAGACATG